TTCATGCATTTTATGAGAAAAAACAACTTGTATCAAAAACACACCGAGTTTCTTCAGAGCACCCAAAACTAACTACTATACTAAACTATATTCAGTACAGAAATGTTGCTTTTTGGCCACAAACATGCACAATAATCAAAAGCAGCATATAGAAAAAGGTGATTGTTCACACAGTGCTGTGCCTAGCTTATGTGAAGTACTAAAAAGTGGTGTTTTCTTTCCATTCTATATCAGCTACAAGGAAAATGCAATGCACCTATCCAGGATTCATCATGACAGACCCATGAGTCCTCGGGATGAAGCCGTTTTCTGGATCGAATTCACCATGAGAAACAAAGGAGCCAAGCATCTGCGGGTCCAGGCCCACGAGCTCACCTGGTACCAGTACCACAGCCTGGACGTCCTAAGCTTCCTCCTAACTGTAGCCTTGCTCTTCATTGTCATCCTCATCAAGATATGCAGCCTCTGTTTTAAGAGATGCTGCGGCAGTAAAACGACAAAGACAAAAGCTGAATGAAAAGATGAAGCAAGATTTTGTTTGTCAAAATGTAACCCGACGCCGCTACGTATTGCCTCCTTAAAGTTGTCTGTCAATGAGCAATTGGCCTCTGAAGAAATTACCCCTGAAAGTAACTATGTTTTTATGGTTTACTTGAAAATATTTCACCACTGTTTTCAATGCTGACTCGCACAAAACGTACTGCACAACAGATGCTGGTACTGTAGATAAGAGTTCAATGTTAGAGCTCCAAGAAGATATCTGTATTTTCTGTGGAAACACCACAAAACATGGATTTTACACATGCTAAAAAAAACTGAACAGAATATTCCTGGTAACTGTAAATGTTTTCACAGTCACCCTGATTAAAAATTATATTTTTGCATCAATGCAGCTGGGTGATAGCTGCAACAAATTAATATCTAACTTTAAATGACAGCAGCAAGGCATGGTAGTGACCCGATAAAGTGGCTGCTGAAGCTCAGTTTATTCAGAACTTTACTGTACCATTTTTTATTCATATCTCATTGTTTGCTTTGTAAATTCAGTTAACTAAATTTATCTATCAAATTATAGTTTTTCTAAGCCTTTCCAATGGCATATATATCCAGAGCATGATGTTGCCCTTTCCATGGTTCATTTTAAGGTTAAAATCAGTCTTTTCTATATGTGTGCCTACCTTCACTGCAAAAATTATCTAAAAATGAGTTAAAGTTTCTTTAATTAAGTGTATTTTGCCTTAATTTGAGCAGTTAAATAACATAATCTGCCAATGGAATTATTAATTTTTACTCTTAAAATAAGTGTAAAATTAGATAATTAGATATTATGCACTTGAAATAAGAGACAGCAGTTGTTTTTTCTTATTTTAAATGTAAATTGCCTCATTGCATTAGCAAAGAGTCTCACTTACCTGCTTAATTCAAGAAAAAAAAGAGCTTATTTTAAGAAAAATTGACTTTCATTTTTTTTTTCCAGTGTTGTAGCTGCAAAAATGTTTTTCTTTTCTTTTTTTTTTTAAATCAAGGGAGGATCCATAGTCTGTTGCTACTCCTGTTGCTTTGTTGCTGATGCTACTCGCATCAGTGTTTACGTTCTTCTTCTCTAATAGAAAGGTTTTCCTGAATGCAGTTTACAAAGTAATTCTACATAACTAGCGTGTTGCTATCTGGGAATTATGTTAACACATTTTTTTTTGGATATCTTAAATGTTTGGATTTTATTCCTTTAAGCACCCCCAAGTAAAACTTCAACTTAAATGTCAAATAAACACAACTAAAACTGAGGTAAAGTTTTGTTTACTAAATAAGGATATTATATCAGCTGCATGATGGAGCAGTGTGAGGCACCGCTGCCATGCTTGGGTTAAATTCATGGCCTTAAGGTCTTTCTGCATGCAGTCTGCATGTCTTCCTTGTGCATGCTTCAGTTCTCTCCAGGTTATCTGGCTTCCTTCCACAGTCCAAAAACATAACTGTTAGGTTAATTGGCATCTCTAAATTTTCCTTAGGTGTGAGTGTCTGTGCATGATTGTGTGTCTCTGTGTTGCCCATAAACAGACTGGTGACCTATTCAGGGTGTACCCCGCCTTTTGTCCATAGACTGTTGGAGATTTGTGCCAGCCCCACAATGACACTGATGGATAAGTGGGAGAAGATGGATGGATACATATTTTAGGATATTCAGCACCAGATTCTTTAATAAAAGATTTGTTAGAGAACATTATCAGAAAGCATAACAAAGACCAAGGAACTCAGGAGCTAGGTCGCAGAGAAAGTGCTCTAGAACTTTAAGGCTTTTTAGATGAAAAAACAATATCAATTGAACATCCCAGGGAGGAATGTTCACTTCATTATTGCAAAATAGGCAAGAGTTTGACCAACTGAAAACCTACCAAGACATGGCTGTCCACTTAAACTGACAGTTGAGGCCAGGAAAACATAAGTTGGAGACGCCGATTGGAAAGCCCATAACAGCTCTGGAGGAGCTGCAGAGGTCTGCTCAGGTGGAAGAGTCTGTTTACAGAACACATTGGAGACTTATGTAAATTTAAGGAGATGTGATGGTGTTGCTCATAATAAGGCATATATTAATTCCTGTTTTAGCTATTGCAGACCTGCCTTCTGTAGTGTTCAGAATCTCTCAACCCAACAGTTTTTTCTGTAATTAATTTCAGTTACTCCAACTGTGCAGGTGAACATTGGACACATTTAACTTCTGCCTAACTTTTCTACTGGGAACTTTTCGTGTTGACACATTTTTCTTTTCTCTTTTCTAGCAGTAAGGAGTCACTGAGCTAGTACAAGCATTAGCACTACTGTGGGTTCATTCTCTAAATCTCTTCCTCTTTGCTGCTCTATGTGTCCGGTGATAAGTTATATCTCTAACTCTTTAATGATAATATGTGGAATAAGCGTTCTATTTTTTTAGCTGGGTGTCAGAGCTACAGTTCCCTGCCATGTAGTGTTACTCCAGCAGTTCCTGAACAGCTGTGGTCCTAGGATGGACAGGTGGCAGAGAGTAAAGTGTAGTCCTAGACCCCCTCCCAATGGTCAACACCAGCCTGTCTACATTTCTAACTAATTTTCTCTGCTCAACGAAACACCCACTAAGAAGTCTATCTCTGGTAATCGGTTCCTCCAAAGTCAGAAACGTTTCCGCTAAAGACACCAGAGAACCAGGTGATGTAGTCAAATGTTTGCTGGGGGCAAGACAAGACAATAAATCTCATCTGAAACTGCTGGCTAAAATCTATACATACTTATACACATACATAGGTTGGGCCTTCATACCATCCCCATGGACTTGGTTTCTAACAGTTTGTGCAAACACATGCACATTTGTGGCCTGCTGGAGTTCATTTTGCAGGGCTCTGGCAGTACTCCTCCCATTCCTCCTTGCACAAAGGCTAAGGTAGAGGTCCTGCTGCTCGGTTGTTGCCCTCCTACGGCTTCCTCCACATCTCCTGGTGAACTGGCTTATCTCCTGATAGCGTCTCCAAGTTCAATTCACACAGATGAAAATGAACTAAGTATCCTAGTTCACTTCTTCAAAAATTAATTAAGCTCAAAAACTTATAAATTTTCTAGTTCATGTTGATTTGGTCAATTAAGCCACGATTCTACAATATAACATATTTTATCAGAATCAGAAATACTTTAATAATCCCAGAGGGAAATTACTTTTGTTACACGCTCCAGATACAGTTTGTGTGTATATATATATATATATATATATATATATATATATACACAACAAACCACACAATATAATAAAAATATAAATATATGCACATATAACGCTTATATATATCTATATATACACAAACTGTATCTGTATCTGGAGCATATAACAAAAGTAATTTCCCTCTGGGATTATTAAAGTATTTCTGATATATAAAAATACCAAATATTATTTGTGACACCCTTAACATAAGTACTTTTAAACACTTCAGAATAAAGTGAATAAGGATTAAAAAAATACACAAGATAAAATACCACTAAACTACAGAAGCATATTGCTGTCACTTAAGAAAATACATTTTTGCTAATTATATTGAATAAATTTGATAGTTATATTGTATAAACATGATCACTAAACTCATTGTATGCTCAGGAGCAGACATGTACTATCAAATTATTATGGACACACCTTGGTTTGCAATAAAATTTAGTAAGGCTGGGGTTCAAGGAGTGGGAGGAGGTGTATCCAGCTGCTTAGAATATAATCAACTATAAGGCTGACGGTAGCTTCTTGTGTGTCTGTGTGTAACCTTGTTTTTGTTACCCGATGGGGACAATTTCCCAGGAATATGCTACATTTTGTGGACTTATGGGGGCCAGTGAATTGGTCCCAATGAGGAAGGTTATCTTCTTGTGGTGGTGAGTTATGTTTAAAACAAAGGTCTGAATTGAATTTAGGTTAGGAATTTTTTGGTATTGGTTAGGGTAAAGGTCTGGGTTAGACCATAGAAGCAAGTTGGATATGAATGGATGTGAATGGAAAGTCCCCACAATGATAGAGAGACACAACAGGGGTGTGTGTGAGTTTGTAGGTTGGAGACGGATTAAAGTAGCCTACATATGTAGGCTACTTGCACCCTTTTTCATTAAATGTCAGTGTTTTTTAAACAATTAACATTAACCATGAATAGACTCTGAAAACATTTTTAAACAGTTGGTACCAAAACATACACAAGAAAATTGTGTCAGAGTATGTCTCTATATTAATTGCTTCCTTTTTTCAAATTTTTTAAACTGACCTCTAAAGACCAACACAGCCAACTAAATCTTAGGTGTAAGAAATTCCAACAAAGGTTAAAGAGTTTCTTTACTCTTCTATAGCTTTTCAAAAATAGCCTCCAACCTTTTTTTCCTGGGTTGATCCTTTTATCTTGCATAATTGAGTACACAGTGAACAGAGTCAGAGTTCATTTAGTTAATGAATATCTTTCAGGTGCAGCTAAAGATAATAGCTTGTTTTCTGCAGACGCACAACCACCATGGAGCTGCGTCTCTCCGTCTGTGTCCTGCTGCTGCTTTGTGCATCAAGATGTTCAAACGGAGGAAAGATTTTGGTGTGGTACACTGAGGCCAGCCATTGGATCAACATGAAACCTATACTGGAGACTCTGGTGGACAGAGGACACCAGGTGACCGTCCTGGTTCCAAGTGCATCGATGTTCATGAATAGCAGCGAACCTTCTCGCTTCCAGTACGAACCATTTGACGTCTCCATCTCACTGGAGGCCATGGAGGAATCGCTTGAAGAATTTATTCATTTTGCAATGTATGAGGCAGATTACATGAGCTACTTTCAGGTTTATGTCAGATATATGGAACTTATGAGGATTGAGCTGCAGAATAACCTTGATATCCTCAGTGGTGTTGTCAAGTCAGAAATGCTGTTGAAGAAGTTGAAGAGGGAAAACTTTGATCTGCTTTTTGCTGATCCCATCTACCCTGGGAGTGAATTGACTGCAGACATGTTGGGCATCCCCCTCGTTTACTCGCTGCGTTTCTCCTTAGCTCATAACTGGGAAAGGATGTGTGGTCAGCTACCTTCTCCACCTTCCTTTGTCCCCGGCGCTATGAGCAAACTTACAGACAAGATGGACTTCTCAGAGAGACTGTGGAACGTCCTCTTCTATGCTCTGAATGACATTGTAATTGACAACGTTATGTGGAATATGTTAGATAAATACTACTCAGATGTCAAAGGTAAGCAGGTAAAAAAAAACAGCAAGTGTGAACACATTTATTGTCACATTAAGTCCTAATATTGCTTAGAAGAACTTCACTAAAGGGCTTTCATGGACATTTTTTCACAAATTTATGACAGGAAGTCCCACCAGTGCCTGTGAGTTAATGGGTAAGGCTGATATCTGGTTGATGAGGACCTATTGGGATTTTGATTTTCCTCGCCCAATCCTCCCCAATTTCAAGTTTGTTGGAGGGATCCACTGCAGACCAGCTAAACCTTTACCAACGGTGGGGCCTTTTCCTCCAATGTAGACAAAGAGCATTTAGTGATGAATAAGTAAAATTCAATGACTAACGCATTACACATTTTGCAGGATATGGAAAAATTTGTACAGAGCTCAGGAGATGATGGTATTGTGGTGTTCACTTTGGGATCCATGATTACGAACGTCACCATGGAGAAGGCAAACTTAATAGCTTCAGCGCTTGCTCAGATTCCCCAGAAGGTCTGTAAAATATTCCTGATCTTCTCTAATTAACTATTTATCAACTGATGCAACTTTTCTGAGCTTAATCTAATAAGATTAACTAGCTTAGGAGTTTATGTAGGTTACATCATAAGTACTTGGACAACTGCAAACTATCTGCAGTGTTAATAGGGTTTCCTTACTTGCTATAGCCTTACTACTGTATATTCCCTATTTTTTATATACAGTTTTTTTTTTCATAGATCAGTCTTTGATTTGAATTCATATCTCTCTTTCCTGAGAATTCAATTCCAACTGGGCTCAATACCCAACACAGCCAGTACCTTAGTGCAACTTATGAAGATAACAGAAGTACAGCATCATCTAAAAACCCATCCCATAATGACAGAGGTCCACTTTTTTAAAACTATGACTGAACTTATTTCTTATGATCTTTGTTTTGATTTTCAAAACAAATTTTGGTTTTAAAGTGATAGCAAGTCTTCCAAACCTCTAAGCTAATAATTTGCAAGGATAGAGTTAAATTAAAACTCTGCATTTCTGTTGAACTTTACAATCTTATCAGTAAAAAAATGTGCAGCAAAACCTTTCACTGCTGGTTTTTTTTTTTTTTCTTTTTTTTTTTTTGCAGGTACTATGGCGATATAATGGGGACAAACCAAAAACGTTGGGTTCCAACACCAGGATTTTTAGCTGGATTCCTCAGAACGACCTGCTGGGTGGGTAAAGTTCAGCTCATTTCAACTCAAATGTTTTGGCAGAAGAAACGATTTAGGGATTATATGTGCAGATCGCCCGTTTCTTACAGTCCGACCTCAAAAGGAACAAATGTTTCAGTAGAAGTTTTGATGTCTTTACTGTAGAATACAAAGTTGGTGACGCAGTAAAAGAAAGAAACAATTCACATTTCTAAAACTAAATGCATGTCATTCAGTAAATCCTGTATTGTATAATTCACTTTTACACCAGCCAACACAATTATTTTTAAATTAAAAATGGTAAATAAATACAATGAATCCTTTTATATAATATGTCTTATCTTTTTTTATTATTACTCATGATCTTGTTGATTAATGGCTTTGGTTAAAAAGTAGCTTGCACTGAAATGTTCTAACTTTGGTCTTTATCAGGTCATCCTAAAACAAAAGCGTTCATCACTCACGGAGGAACAAATGGGATCTATGAGGCCATCTATCATGGTGTTCCTATGGTAGGCATTCCAATATTTGGGGACCAACCAGACAACATGGTGCACATGGAGGCTAAAGGAGCTGCAGTCATTCAAAACATGAACTTCATGACAACAGAGAGCCTGAGGGATGCAATCCTGACTGTCATTAATGACAAATCGTAAGTTTATTACCCATCTTAATCATTGTAAGGATTTTCAAAAATGATCTACGCTGATTTAAATGAACTAATACGATTATAACGAAGTGAATCCTAAAAGATTTAAAATCAGGGAAACTGAGTTTTCCATTTCACAAAGACAGTTTACTCGAACTCTGTTTCTGTTGATGTAACATTCTCCCCAGAGCTAACCTGGCCGGGAGCAGGTTTTGTTCATTAATTCAATTCTGTTTATTTATATAGCCCCAATTCACAAAACGTGTAATCTCAAGGCACTTTACAGTTTACCAGATTATACAGTCAAACAGATTCAAAGTTTTCTATAAGGAAAATCAGTTGATTCATCCATCCAGGATGGCTTGTAGTGACAGTGGAAAGGAAAAACTCCCTTTTAACAGTAAGAAACCTCCAGCAGAACCAGGCTCTAGGCTATAGCAGCATAACTATAGAGATAGCTCAGGATAACCTGAGTCACTCTAACTATAAGCTTTATCAAAAAGGAAAGTTTTAAGCCTAGCCATAAAAGTAGACAGGGTGTCTGTCTCACGGTAGTTGGTTTCACAGAAGAGGAGCCTGATAACTAAAAGATCTGCCTCCCATTCTACTTTTAGAAATTCTAGGAACCACTAGTAAACCTGCAGATTAGGAGCGAAGTGCTCTGTTAGGAACATAAGGAACAATCAGATCTCTGATATAAGATGGAGCTTGGCCATTTAAGGCTTTATATGCAAGAAGGAGGAACATTCTATTCTGGATTTAACAGGAAGCCAATGAAGAGAAGCTAGGATAGGAGAGATATGTGCTCTGTTCAAATTAATGGGCTGCGTTCTCCGAAGGCCAGATTCGAAGGTACGATTACTTCATAGCGCGGCTCCTAGGTCTGGTCGGATTCCAAGACTCCTCGTTATGCAGCCTACAAATGCATCCTTCTTTTTTTGAAGGATGGTGTCACTACCTGATCTGTCCCGGAAGCACCATCTGTTCTTCCGTTCTTCACAAGTATGTGAATAGTTCCGTCTGAAATTAATGAGAATAGTTGTTTGAATGGTTATTGCATCAGCTATTTGGCGGGTAATGTTTAATTTATCTAAAGGTTTTTATCTGTTACTGTGTAAATGGATTTGGCTGCAATATAAGGACAGATTCTAATATATCTGCAGTGCAGTGGGACTTATTTTTTTATTGCCATTCTGCACAATTTGCTTAACTAAGTATCTTTTGTTGTTGAATATTAAAGATTTTGCAGATATATTTTTTTATACATATTCACATGAGTGAAGTCTTTCTTTACTTTACAATAAAAAAAATTAAAATACACAGTTTTGAAAAGATCGGTATTCATTATTTTCCTGCTTTTTGTGTAAACTGTCACGGTTGCTAAACGACAGAGCGTACTGGTAAAAGCCGTCGAAAGGTAGACCTGTTTGAATTCCCAGCCAAAACTCTTCTGCTCTCCTTATTTTCAAGGAAAAAGCAGCCCATAAATTCAACCAGAGCCTTGATCTCTCTTTTTAATTTTCATCAGAACTCTGGCTGCAGCATGTTGGATCAGCTGAAGGCTTTTAACTACAGTTTGTGGACTTCCTGATAGTAAAGAATTTCAATAGTCCAGCCTTTGGCGTAACAGATGCATGGACTAGTTTCTTAGCATCACCCCTGGGCAGGATATTTCTAATTTTTGCAATATTCTGTAGATGAAAGAAGGAAATTCTAGAAACCTCTTTGATATGGGATTTAAAAGAAAAATAACACCAAGATTTTTTACTTTATTATCTGAAATCAGTTTAATGCCATCCAAATGAAGCGACGGACTAATCAGTTTCTAATCAGACTCTGGTCCAAAGATCTAACTGCTGTTTTATCTGCATTCAGGAGCAGAAACTTAAGAGTCATCCAGGTTTTTATGCTTGTAATCAATGTAATGGGTTAGATTCATCTGGATGAATAGACAGATATAGCTGGGTATCATCAGCATAACAGGGGAAATTAATTCCATGCTGTCTAATAATTCTACCGATTGGGAGCATATATATATAGTAAAGAGAATTGGTCCAAGCACTAATCCCTGTGGTACTCCACAGGTAACCTTTGAGCATGAGGAAGATCTGTCATTAGCTTGAACAAACTGAAATCGATCATATAGATAAGACCTAAACCAGTCCAGTGCCGTTCCCTTAATTCCCACAAAATATTTGTCTTTCTAAAGGAATATTATGATCAACTGTTTCAAATGCAGCACTGAGGTCTAACAGGACGAGCACAGATACAAGTCCATTATCTGACGCCATGAGAATATCATTAGTGACTTTCACCAGAGCTGTTTCAGTGCTATGATGAGCTCTAAAGCCAGACTGAAACTCTTCAAAACGTTCATTATGGTGTAAGTGATCACACACTTGTTTGGCAACTACTTTCTCAAGAATTTTAGATAAGAAAGGAAAAGGAAGATTGGATAAATGTCTATAATTGACCAAGTCATCTGGTTCAAGAAAGTGGTGAGCTCAGTGTCCTCTGTCTCCGCTCTCCTTAGAGCCAATCACGTCATTTTATTTCCTGATTTAGGCAGAAGATTGCCGTCATAGTTTTGCGCATACAATAATAAAAAAAAATAATAAAAGAAATTTAAAAGTCATCCAATAAGTCTATTAGAGTCTTGGGTTTTAAAACTAAACACTGCATGTCTTATTGACGAGGATCTTATTATATTCCCATGGGATAATGAATAGGTCCTACCTGTTCATTATCCCATGAACTTCATCTTCATCTGCTGACAGTACCTAAATAGATACAAATCCACAACCATTCCAGCAATAAACTAGTTTTCCGCATAATGTTAACATGGTTACAACAGGCTATGGCAAGCCAGTTTGATAGTGTTTGTATTAGTTTGAATATGTATTTTACATATTTTAAAACAAACTTCCTTATCAAAATTATAATTTAAAACAAATTGACATTCTTCACATCTTGAGCAAACATTTGGGATGTCTAGACGGGAATTTCAGTTTTACATAGGCCTATTTCTTACTTGATTATTTTGACAATGAAGAAATGTAGTTCAGATATAAATGTATATTCAGTCAAGCTGTTAAATGTGAAAACGGCCGCTTATAATGTGTAAATATTCTAGGCATGTAAACTTTAAATCATCCTCTCTTTTTCAACTAGATGAACTGATTAATTCAAGTTTTGCCTGACCTCGGTAACCATGGCCAGACACACCTGGATTAATCCGTCCATCCAGTAGAAAAAGACAGGAAACAAAAGAGCTTCCTTAAGTTCAGGAGGTAGTGGAGTTGTGGATAGAGCTGATTAGTGCCAAACAAAATAAATGGTCCACATTCAAGCCTGGTAAAAGCAAACAGGAAGCCCCAAGATGCATTTCAGCTTGGTTTTGTAGAACTAGACCATTTCAATCATTTCCTCTGGTGCAATTACAGAGGACAACTACATGAGAATATTTAAGTTGGCATGCAAGACGTGCACAACTTAATAGCATAAATAAAACATAATTATGTGGTATTTCTGCTGTCAGATAAAAAATAAAAACTTAATCCTTGTCTCAAAACTGAAAAAAAAAAAAAAGGTAAACGTTGACTAAAGTGAAAATTAAAAAAATACCACCTGGCTAATTTCATGCATTTATGTCAATTGTTAATGATTATTTCTTACAACTAATGACAACCAGATTTTTATACAGAAATCTTAGTCCACTCTTGTTAAGTATGATACACTTCAGCATGTGAGCATCACTGGGTCTGGCGTCTAATCTTAACACCAAGAATTCTTCTCTGGTTTGCTGGTCAATGCCATTAAACCAGGCATTGGTACATTTGGTACCAATGACCTTTCTGCACCAAAAATGTTTTCATCAAAAGGCTTTTAAAAACTAAAAGTTGGGTTTCCACCAGCTGTATGCCAAAGTTTCTAATTTAGCTATGGAAGGCACTGTTCATTTCATATTTTGAAAAGTTAATGAGACAAATTGACTAATAAGTATTAAATCTCTAAAAAATGAAAAGCTAATGTGACACACTGTTTTATGCATTCCCATAGAACTCACAAATGACTTGTGGTCCATCCACTAAAGGTGTTCAATGTTAGACCATGACACACAAGTTAATCTTTTGGATGGTTAAGCTGTTAAAACACTAGATCTAGGTGCTAATCTGTGGGCTGCTAGTAAACATTTATTTCACTCATCCACAGCTACAAGGAGAACATGATGAGACTGTCGAGAATCCACCATGACAGACCGATGAGTCCTCTGGATGAGGCGGTTTTCTGGATCGAGTTCACTATGAGAAACAAAGGAGCCAAACATCTGCGGGTCCAGGCCCACGAACTAACCTGGTACCAGTACCACAGCCTGGACGTCCTGACCTTCTTCCTCATTTTAGACATACTCTTCATCTTTATTCTTTTAAAGACCTGCAGCTTCTGTTGGCACAGATGCTGCAAAAGTAAAAAGGTCAAAAGAAAAGCTGAATAAAAGACAGAATAGAACCTTTCAGAACTTAATGGGAACTCAAACATTCATCTCCACCCTCAAACTTTACTTCAGATGTGTGGTTTCCTGAGCTGAAACAATGTCCTTAAATACCTTTCAGCTGTGCTAATTAGCATGCTCACAGCTGAAGGTAATTTGATTTTACCAGCTGAAACCTTATTGGCTGGTTATGATTGAGAAAACAAAAAAAACAAACATTTGATTTCATGCCTTTATTTGAGAACCATTTATAATAGCTTATCTTTGAGTCTCATAAATATATATATGTACATGACAGATGGGCTTCAACTCAAAATTTCATTAACAGAATCTATATCTGACCAATTTAAGTAAAAACAAAAAAAAATAAACAGCCCTTTTTCTTTGTCACACAAATATACATATGTTTCTTATTGAGCTATTGCGGTAGCTCCTCATTTTTTCAGTTTCCCATCTTCTTTCATCTTCCACAGCATAAGCTCCATGCAGGCAGATGCATCTTCCTCAGTGTCGTGGCCACAAACTGGGAGAAATAGTGGCAGATGGATTTAACTACCATTTTGTTGCAGTTTTAATATTCACTACATTTGTATTGTTTCAGATTAATGTGGTCGTAATGGCTATAAATAAATAAATATATGAGACTTTCTTATAAAGGTGGTAACCCACCACTCTCTTGAATAATCCTCCTGAGGTATTCAGCTGTGAGACTGTTGAGGCTCAGCTTGTTAGGTGGTCCTAGACGATGAGGGAAGACCACCGAAGTGTCTACCACCAACCCATGAAGCAACTACAGAGGGGGAAAAAACAATGAAGGCTGCTGTCAAACCCTTCATAGTTTATGTTCCACACTGAACCCCGCATAAGAAAACTGGTAAAGGTGAATTAAAGTTAAAAACAATACAGAAATCTAAAATGTCAGTTATCCAATGACCCTGTTAAAAGACACAGGGATGCTGCTGTGTATGCAACTGGCTTTTCAGTAGTTTGTGCCCCCACCACAAAATACGTTTAATAAAATGGTGTTTGATGGTTTTGTAGTATTGATTGTACTCTATAATAATATAATACTCTGAAATAATAGGAAGAAAAAAAAAAAGTATAAACAGAAATTGCAGCTATAAGAACTGGAACAGTAAATTTATGTGAATAAAATACAAATTACGGATAAGAAGGTAATTTAAAGGCAAATATATTCAAGATTTGCCTTACAAGGAGCAGGAGTGCTCTAATCGAAGCCCTCATTTCACATGTCGGGTAAAAAAAAAAAATAAAAAAAAAACCTACAATCACCTTGAGTAAACAAAGGTCTGTTTCCAGGCCATGTCCAACCAGAATAGTGTCTGCACTGATGAAGCTCAACAAAGTCTCCTGGACCTCCCTGAGGGAGGGATGGTTACCTTTCACATCTTCCTCACTGATTCCTGAAAACCTAAAGACATTTCAGGAAAGGAACTTCATAAAAATAAGAGTTGTGAAGATCAGAAATAGTTATATTGCCAAAAGTAGTTGTATTTGTAAAGTATTTGTCTACTTTTGTGTATTTGAAGACAGCCTGTTCTTCATCTGTAGTGTCAGTTTGTCTGTACACACCCAGATTCTGCACGCCAGATTTTATTCAAAAACCACGGTACTACTAGAAGATCCAAGCGATTGATTTGGTGGCAAAATTGAATTAACCTAAAATTAACTAAAAAAATATTAAAGCCTACAGCTCCTGTGCCCCATCGCAAATTAAACATCAAATTCTCACATCAAATGTGGGAAACTGCCATATTTTAAAGTAGTTTTCATTTTATCACCATAGTTGTGTTGACTAGGACTAATACATAATTACATATACATAATTATCAATACATAATATGTAACTAGGATTGGTCCAGACAGTGTCCCGATTTGAATTTGGTGGATCGGTGTGGAGGGAATTTAAGATTAGGGTGATTGTAAACCCTAACCCTAGGTCTTCCAACACTAAAGAAGAGATCACCACCAATGATGCAGTCCACTGAAAGAAAATAATATTACTGGAAAGTGAATCTAATTATTCATCCATTCTTAAAGATCTTTATCAGTTATGAAGAAGCATGATGATATTCAATGCCATTTTTAGTAATATAAAAATGTATAAAAAAAACAACAAAAACAAACTTATTTTCTAGTCTTAAAGACTTTAGCTTTAAAATGTCACCTTTTGAGAAACATTTCTCATCAGAAAACTGTACATTTCAAAAGATAAATGTAAAATCTTTTGACGGGTGTTAACCTCATGAGCTGCACACACAAACTGAGCCAGAGAAGTGTTACCTGGTGTTATAGTCGATGACCTCATTATCAGGTCTGACAAAGGTGTCGTAGACGACCTGAAGGTTGGAGTTGATCACCGTCACTCTGGACAGCTCCAGCCCTTGAACAGTGTAACACTGTAGACATTCATAGACAGTCACACAACATTTCATTACAAACGTACATTTTAGAAATCAACTCGTTATAAGATATTAATTAATACCATTTCACAATCCAGGGAATAAACTCCAGGACAGCTCATGTCTGAGGGACATCTGGGTGCAGTAGATACAAACCCATCCAAGCTGAGAAAATCATGGACATGCAACTGGGTGAGAAAAAAAAAATGTATACACGTGTAAATATCAAAGTCTTGTGAGCACAGTTTAATAGTTCAATGTGTAGGATTGCTGTTTTTGACGGTATAGTTCACAGAATGTGTTCGCCACCTTAAACATTTGACATCCAGGAGCTCCCATGACTCCCTGACAGCAGCTGTAGCGAGTTTCCACTCCCCCTGGAACTGCAAAACACAAATACTATGTATTAAGTATTTTTCCTCCCATTCCAGTCATTCAATCGCAATCCCTGTGAAACATTTCATGTGCTGGCTGACCTCTGTTGGTAACTCCTTTCCCATAGTGGTAGTTGCACTCCTCTTTTCGGAGGTGTTTGCCTGTTTGATTGACAGCGTACGTGGCCCCGCATCGACAGCAGATCCTTTTAAGGGCTATTTAACACAGCAATGGGTTAATTGGAGAGATGAAGCTGAAGCTCAACACAAGTACATTAGTCGAATACGCCCTCTAGTGGCCTAGGAGGAGAAAAACAGGTAATAAGGCCAAGCTGCATGGTTCTACTTACGGTCTGTGCTCACTTTCTTCTCAGAAAAAAGAACAGCAGAACTTGCTTTTTCTGGGTGCTGGATAGGATAGTTGTTTTCTATCATTTGTTCATCAGTCAAAGTATAACCCTTGAAAATTTCATACAACACCATATCACCTGCTAATAAAACAAAAATAAGTAAACCTCAGCAGCAATTTGTTGTTTATTTTTATATATTAAAAAAATTCTTTAACGTTTTCTCACCATTTTCTTTCATCTTTTTTCGGATAAATGGGATGTTGCCTTTTGGTTTTTGATTCTGGACCTGTTTTTCATCTGCATCACAATAAGTAGATTAGGATTTAACTTAACTGAATGTTGCATTTAGAGCGGAGACAAACGGATTAAGAGATTATACTCCATTTAATGATAAATCCATTACTAAATAATTTCAATAGAGACTAAAACAAGCCTTAAGCTGATAAAGAAACACACTTAGAGTAGTAATTATACCAACACTGTAAAAAAAATAAAATCACATTAACATTTTGTATTTAAAATAAAAAAATACTTTCATCTGTCAATATGCTCGATCCAGAACTCCTCGAGTGGTAACGTTTTAGTTTCACCTGGTTTAAATTCTTTAAAAATAGAGTTTTAAAAAAAACCTTCTGCTATCAGATTATTAATCGATAAAAAAAATAAATAAAAATAATAATAATTTACTTATTTGCCAAAATGAACATTAGTTGCAGGTCTAGTTGCATGGAGTCAGGACTTTTCTTCCTACTTTTAGCAGAAGCACTTTGGTTCTTCAGTCTTTTGAGGGCGTTCACTGCAATGCTGAGATATTTGAGTTTGTTGACGCTGCGGTTGTACACGCTCTTCTCCTCAGTTAGGGCCTGTAATCAGTAGCAACGGGATGAAGAATGAATAGTCATCCTTTCAGTCAGTGGGAGACATCTGGAAGCAGGAGATGCTCACCTTCTCAAAAGCCTCATTGACATCAGCTGTGGTTTTAAGGAACTCCTCTGTGAACATGTTCACGTACCGCTGACGGACATCGTGGGGAACTTTCTCTTTTGCCGTTTCACTTTGCTGCTTCAGCTTCCTTTTCACTGGCAGAGGCTGAAATCAGAATTACTTTATTAATCCCTTGCAGGACTTTCTTTTCTTTCCATGCAAACATTTACAAAAGTAATAAGGCAGAATAAAATCAGTAAAATTTTTATGCACACAGTAAAATTACACCCTTCCCATATAAACAGTGGAAAATAAAATATAGGAATTAAATAAGGATCTCAGTATATACAATAAACAATATTTACAATTCTGTTCAGTACCTAAATTACTATTATTGCACATGACCATGTCAGTGCGTATAGTGAAGTAAGGAAGGAATATTAATTACATAATAAATAATTACAGCGCAATGAGAAGCATTTGTTCCGATTTCAGATTTATTCCGTTTGTAAGTTTAAGTAACATACAACTTCTCAGATCAATTACGACATATTATCAATTATAATTGCATTTTTTACTCCTGTTTTGAAACAAAAAGAGGAATATATCCAGACCAACCTGGCTCTAGGCAGAAAGCCAAAATGGTTCAAGTTGTTTATCGTTCACCGCAATTTACTACAGGTTCTGGAAAGATCTGTTAAATTTCCTGCATCCAAATGTTTACAAAGTCAGCTGGAAGTCTTTGGGACTCTTGAAAACCACAGTAAGGGTGATGATATAAAACATAGAAGAGTGGCGAGTCTTCCCAGGGACGACCAACAAACCAAAATCACTCGAAGAGAGCATCACTAGCTTATTCAGAAAGCACCAAAATAATGGAATACGTGTAATGTAGGGCTGCTGCGTGGCACTATGCAGGAGCATCACCCTCCTGGATGCAATGAATAAATCCAATGAGGTTCTTTTGATTGTTAAATATCTATTGATCTTGCGCTCTCCATGTGTTGATTACATTTGCAGAGTTACTATCCACTCAACCAGAAGTTCGCATACTTGCTGCAAGACAGTGATTTAAAAAAAAAAAAAAAAAAAATTACATTTGCAGAGTTACTATCCACTCAACCAGAAGTTCGCATACTTGCTGCAAGACAGTGATTTAAAAAAAAAAAAAAAAAAAGAAAAATGATGACGTTCAAAAACGGTGTTTCCACTGCAATTCGCACACCTGCTGAAAGGTTGGCCGTCACTCTATTTGATCCTTTGACGCCACCGACTGTCACTTTCAGGTATAACACCAAACAAATTAACATGAACTACAGGAATATGGCCAAAATAAAACCACAGCTATACAAGACCTTTGAACCATTAAAAACATGATAAACAATCAAACAAAGAAGAAGTAAAGAGCAGGAGCCGAATGAGGTATGGAGGAATTCCTCTCTATAGCAGACAATCCTGAAGGAGGACTTGGAATTAGGGCTGCAACTAACAATTATTTTGTAAAGTGATTAATCTGTGCATTATTTTTTTGATTAATCGATCAATAATCAAAAAGCTAAATGTTCCTTAAAGAAAACTTTTTACTAAGTTTAACCAGGTTAAACTCAAGCTTTTCCACTTGAGGTGTTCTGGATAGAACATATTGACAAACAAAACAGATTTTTATGTTAAATGCAAAATGTTTACAATTTTGTTTTTTTTTTTGTTTTTGGTATAATTACTGCTCTAAATGGGTTGCTCTGACAGCTAAAGGCATGCATCTCTAAACTCCATTTAACGATTAATCGATTACTGTATTAGTTGAGGATTATTTCAATAGTCGATTAATCTGATTGTTTCGGCCCTATTTGGAATATTACAGCAGAACGAGGACCTAAAACAAACCAGCAATCCAACCTCTAAACTGAACTAAAAAAAAAAATAAAAAATAAAAATGGCTTAAAGTCTGGGGGTTAAATCTGATCAAAATGCTGTTACATGACCTTAAGACTAGGGCTGAAACAATTATTCAGATTAATTGTGATTATTTTAATATATTGATTTAGTAAAAGATTAATCGTTAACTGGAGTATTGAGCTTCTAAAACATGTCTTTTGCTGAAAGAGCAACCCAGCAGTAATTATACCAAGATTGCAAAGAAACATGAACATTTTGCATTCAAGATAAAAAATAAAATATATACTTTTTCATCTATGAATATGCTCCATCCAGAACTCCTAAGGTGAAATAGTTTCAGTTTCACCTGGTTTAATTTTGTTAAAAAATTTCTTTAAGGAACCTTTTGCTATGCGATTATTAAATAATGAATCTAAAAACTTTTCTGAGAGATTAATCAATTTGCAAAAAAGTAATTAGTGCAGCCTTACTTAAGACCCAATCATTAATACTTCATTTTTAGTCACTGACAATTTAAAGAACGAATAAAGAAGCTCAACTCAAAAAGTCAGAAATCTGACTAGCTTAGAACAATTCCTTAGAGTGGAATCATACGTTGTCCTCCACACTCAAACCATTTCCTATTTTCACAAACCAATCAACTTTGCTTGGGAAAATCAGGGGGATTCAGAAAGCTCTTCTACCTTAACAGCTGCTTGGCCAGCAGCTTGAGAAGTCGTGGAGGCTCCAACTGCTGCCTGCACAGAGGTCGATGCCAAAGCAGAGCCGAGTGCAGGTCGTCGCGCTGGAGCAGCAATGAGCACAGGCACAGTGGAGCGATGTCTTGGCAAAGGAGTCACTGCAGCAGGAGCGCTAGTTTGTTTGAGTGTGCCAGGGTTTGGATGAACCCGGCTCACTGGAGTCAGCACAGAAGTAACTGGGCTGGAAGCGGAGGAGACGGAGAGAGGGAAGCTGCCCTGTGGGAGGATCAGGTGCACGTTGTTTCCCACTTCAATGACTGCAGTTCCAATGGGGATGAAGTTCACACAAGCTGAGGATCGAGACAAAAATGCAACAGATCGGAGACATTGAAGAACAAATAAAAAAAAAAAAAAAACGTTCATTTTACTGTTAATATTCCTAGTGAAATAACTCCCAGAAGTTTCCTCAGAGGCGAACCATTTGGCGTCGGGGAAGGCTGAAGGTTTTTCAGGGTTGAAGCTGAAGCTGCCATCTGTGTGTCTTTTTTCTGGCTCCCAGAAGACAGAATATTCTGAGCGATTTTAACCGGGACAGACGGTATCGAGGCTCTGTGCTGAAGCTGCTGGGTCTTAGAAGCGACGGTAGCCCGGGAGTTCAACCCTGCAGCCGACGGCTCCCGCAGAGGAACCAGAACCTGAGGCTGAGGTCTCATCTTAGCCAGCGGCTGCTGATTTGACAATGAGAAAAAAGATTCAGAGCCAAAGCTGTGACGATATATATTAGTGAGATTTGTGGAAGTTTTACCTCTAGGTTCTTAGCTTCATGAGCAACTCTCTTTTTCCCTGTGAAACTCTGGCCTGCAGCTTTAACCTCTGGTTTCTCAACATCCATGACAACCGTCATCTGAAACAGTCAGAGGAAATCAGAACATCTTTGAGCTGCAAACCAAACCATCACTTTGATATACTTACAGAAGTGCTACCCTGCTCCTCGTTTCCTCTTTCCTCGCCATTTGCCTCCATGAAGATCCTGTAGCATTCCTCCATCGGGTCGCTATCAGACAGCTCCATCTCTGAGTAATCCAGCTCGTCCTCCTCAGCGCTGGAGTTTATTACTATCACTGCTTCATCCTCCTCCTGGTGAAGCTGTTCTGTGAGGTCAGATGAATCAGCTCTGCCATGGGGATTTACTGATGCAACATCAGGAGACCAGATCTGGCTATTGCCTGGTCCTCCATCTGCTTGCTGCAGGTTTGTTTTCTCTGCCGTTTTTTCACGAGCTGCAGCGTCCGACTGCGCGCTTTGCGTATAAGGGACGTGGCTCTGAACCTCTGTCACCAAGGCTTGCTTGGCTGAATCTGGATCTGGTTGCTTACGAAAAAGGGAACAATGCGGCTGTGGATTATATTTCCCAGTATTAGAGATCAGTTTATTGTGAGGGTTACCCAAGTGATCTGAGGTGGTGGAAAAACTTTGGGATTCATTTTTTTTGGTTGGCATCTCAGGTGACCGTAGACCAGGGTTTTCACGTCCTCTTTCAAGTTCTACTAGACATCCGGTTAAATTAAACCCACTACTATCATTGCTGTAATCTTTGGCTTTTTCAGAAGCAGATGAGACTGGATTGCTCTCTATTAGACAACAATCAGGCTCTTTGTTTACATTGTTGCTGGCGGTGGATGACCAAGCAGCATTTACCACCTGAGGAGTTATTTTCTGCGGTGAGGAATCAAGAAGAACATTATGGGTTTTAATCTCCTTCCTGGCTCTCTCTGTTCCCTCGGAGGATGTCTCTGATGCCACGTCAGCGGCGGCATTTGGAGTTTGATCACTAGTTTTGTCTGGAGATAAAGAAACATCAATAACAAGGACACCATCTTCAAAAGAGTCATCAAGGTCTGGCGGAGATGAAGGTCGGTTGAGCTGGGCTTGATGAGTAGTCGGCTTCTCCACAGATCTCGAGCTCCTTCCGTCTTGTCGGTTTTTCACTTTTCCTGATGAGCTGTAAGACCGCAAGGCGGCAGAAAAGTTGGAGAGTGGATCATACTCTAAATCAGTCCTTGGCTTTGAGCTGTCCACCACATACTTCATTGCCTGCACACTGGATTTATGTCCTTTGCTTGAAGGAAGTCCACAGGAAACGCTGGCCTCACATTTTGTTGGAGGTTTATTGCCACTTCTGTCCGCCCAGTTGGTCTGATAGCATGAGAGGCGGCGCTGCTCCTGTTCCACTTCGTGCCTTGCAGTTTCAATCTCCTTTTCCAGTCTTTGCAGCTCATGCAGGGAGTCTGCGTTTACTGGTCTGAAGCGGTTGCCATACAGATTTCCTGTTTGCAACAGGGGGGAAAAAATAAGCAGGCATACATTTTAATTCCTCATTGGAAATTAAATGCAGTCTGAAATATTTACATCCCATAAAGAGATCGTAATGCAAAAACTAGCACAGAAAAATGCTTAACCTTAAATGAACTACTGGTACTGCAGGCTTTTATCAAATGAAAATAAGATTAAACTTCTGGTTTCTTTCCTTCACAAAAAGGGAATAAAGTGTGTAAAACCACCTCATGAACAATGATGCTGCAGGTAAATGCATCTTCCATAGGAGGTCTGGATGTTGGCATCATTATTCACAGACATACCAGGATAAATCAAAATTAGAACTCTGATGATCTCTGACAGTAAGCTAGAACTGGGTCACAACTGGATTACTCAACAAGGAAATCTAAAATATATGGTTGCAAAAAGACAGATCCGGTCAACAGAAAAAAAAATAAAATAAAAACTACCTTATCCTCTCCCTAAATCCTGAGGAAATCTTGTGCTAAAGAGAATAAAGCCTAAAGGCAATCTGGATGGTCAGAGATATCAATAATCTTCAGATTATTATTGCAAATATCTCTTAGATCCACAGTATTGAAATCTGAAACATTTTTTTACAATTATTGGAAGTGAAATTATTAGACTGCATTAAAAGATCAAATATATATTATTCACTTAGTTATCCACTTTTAAAAGATAGTAACGTGAGACTATAAAACATTTGAATATTTTAAAAAAAAAGCTTGTGTTTGATGAGCAAAACATCTAAAATTGTGAATTTATGCGATTTCACTTTACAATTCTTGCCTAATTAATTTCAGGGCTACAAAAAAATGCTTAAACACGTGCCAAGACCTCGTATAACGCAGGTGTTTTATTTCTTTTATGCAATATTCACTTCCTCACATTATACTGAACGATAGAAAAGTTAACATGACAGCACACCTGAACCACTAACCTGTTAGCTCCGCTGTGGGTGATTTAGACACGCCACCAAACGTCCCCCTCGCTTCTGTGGCATGTTTGTACAAACAATGAGGTCTCTCACAGAGCCCGTGTCGTGAAAAGGGGCAGTTTATATTAATAAAAAGACCAGAGGATGGAAACATGGCAGAAAACAAAAGAAATGTTAAACTAGATTGATGGCAGGCCTCCAACGGGTTGATATGAACTCTTCAACTGCGCTCCGCCTCCAACTTTGGTAACCCATTTATATAGGCTTCTCCACCTTTAAACAGAACACGACAAAGGCTAAAAACTTTAATTACTAGACAAGCTATTATATTAAATTAACGTAATGTATTTATCAAAAGGTATATTTATTTTTGGTTAATCAATTATCATACTTCCTCACCTGTATACTGTAAGTTTACCATTGGGAAGTAATTCCTCCGTTCCTCTAGATGGCAATGTGGCATAACACCGAAGTGGAAAGTACCTTCAGAAGTCAAGGAAGTCGCCATATTGTGAGTGGAAAGGTTTAGTACGTAAAGCTGTACAACTCTTTTATTTAAAGTTACTATCAGATTCCTATCTGCAGTAAAAGAAGACAAACACCTTGATAAAAAAAATGTTTAGCATGGAGAATAGAAATAAGACTTAAATAAGCTTTAGGTGAAGTTACGTAATTCAAGTTTTTTTACTCTAAGACAATTATATACATATGTAAAACAGTATTATAATTATTATAATAGTAATTAGGATTATCATTGTTATTATTATTATTAGGCCTATTGTTTGATCTTTTTTTTTTTTTTTTTTTTATCAAACATTTAATTTCATCCTAGGGGAGAGACTGCAAACTCGACCCTGCTGTCTTAGGGAGTGGCAGCTTACAGATCAACATATGGAGATCAGTTTCATTTATTAATGAAAAAATAAAATTTATGTGGAGGTAAATAACTATATCTTGACATAAATTAAATTAAGATAAGATGAAAAAATTCCTTTAATTTGTATTTTGTTTTATTTAATCCTGAAATTGATTTAATAGAATATTTATTGATAATGTATCAATAGCAACATTTATTTATTTATCCATGTATTTTGCTGGTGAAGATTCTCAGTCATCCAGGTCATAATCATTCTAAAAAAAGTTTAAAAGTAAAAAAAAATAAATAAAAAATAAAATAATAATAATAATAAACAACTTTCAAACCTTGAAAACAAAGTCCATTGGTATGTTTTTACACTTTTTAAACGTTTTTTTTTCTGACTTTATCCTTTTGTTTGTATATTTTTTAATGAAACGGCTTTTAATATTTTTATATTTTAAGTTTGAGAAAAAAATTGTAAAGTGACATTATTCAGTGATTTATAGCGTCAAACGAGGATGTTCTACCTACATACGTAAACATTTATCTTTTTATTAATTATTTTTCGAGTGTTGTTTATGTATATTTAATTACTACACAGAGAAATCTTTCGAACATGAGCATTTTGCACACCATATTTATCATTTATCAGCAACGACATGCCACTCACAACATGGCGGCGACTTAAACGTACGATCCCGGATGCTTATGCAGACTCCTCTGTCTAAACAGTGAACGGTGAACGCCTTCAGGTTGACACTGTGGTGTTCCAGAGTAAACATTTGTCTTTTTGACATGGACTTCAACGAAAGTGAGATGGAGGAAGATGAGAGCGAGTGGAAAACTTGCTTCATGGATCCAGCTGCGCTCTGCCCCGCTACCTCTGCAACTGCAGCTTCTGGTAAAACTTTCAAGTCTGACACCATTAACTCACGTTCACCAGCAGCTATGATAAATATCGGATTTAATTGTTTTTTGTTTTCTTGCTTTTTATTCCAGAGTCAACCATCAAAACTCCAGAACCTGCACAAAAAGTTATTTTGCATTTTGACCTTGATTGCTTTTATGCTCAAGTAGAAATGATCAGAAATCCAGCTCTAAGAGATGTTCCTTTAGGTAAGTTATAGAGAAAATATAAATCAGGGTGATGATTAAGACCTCTTTCTATGTCATCCATCTTTCTATGTCTCCAGGTATACAGCAGAAATACATCATAGTCACCTGTAACTATGTGGCCAGGGAGCAGGGTGTCACCAAGCTGATGTCTGTGACTGATGCTAAGGAGAAATGTCCTAAACTGGTGCTGGTGAAAGGAGAAGACCTTACACACTACAGAGAAATGTCCTACAAAGTCACAGGTCAGCCTGGGGATTATTACTCCTTAATGTGGCTTGTTAAAAAAAAAAAAGATGAAGCAAAAGTGGGAAAGATGTAGAAGACAAATTCCATCCCATGATGCGCAATTTGATTTAATAAATAAACAATATTTCATACAGCTTATTTACTCTTTACATCGTTTTATGGATATATTTTGCTATAAATAAAACCCCATATTTTTAAGCATTTTTTCCCCATTAATGAATATAACGTTTGCTTTCACTGCTTATACATATATTTAGTCCAAACCAGCTCTATGAACACTTAAGTCTTCTCTTATCAGCTACGTAAGAGTAGATGTTCTCACTCTGAAAGTTGTAGGTTCAAAACCATCTTCCTCCTGTCATGTGTCGATGTGCCACTGGGCAGTGCACTTAACCCTAAGATCTATGCAATCTGCATATATGTGTATGATATGAGCTGGTGAATGTTGCTCCACCACAAGGCCCTTTGATTGGTCACTATTTCACTATTTACTACACTATTTGCCATTGATTAATAAAAATCTGATGTTTGATGGTTATCCAGTTTAGGCCAGTTTTCAGCCTTCCCAACAGCAGAAGCTGCTTATAAATTGCCCTGGAGGCAAAACAAGCCCACATTTTGGCCCTCCACCACCGTGCTGTAACAGTAAGGGTATTTGCTGTATAATTCCCAGCACAGTACTTAGTGATATTGTTTAGGGATAGGATAAAAGTTACTATAAGAATGATCAAGATTCAATATTGTTTTTGCTTTTAAATCTATAACTGAATTCAAGTGAAGTAGCGACACTATTTAATCATTTTTATTAGATATTTCCTGATTTTATTTGTACAGGTAACATTATGTACGGTGTTGCCCTTCCCTATGTAATGAGAAAAGTGTGTGCAGATTTTTTATTTATTTATTTTTTGTTCCTACAAACATGACCCTGTTCAATATGCTTAAACATCTCTATTTTAGTCCAATTTATAGTCCAAGAGCCTTGTGGTTCATTTCGACGTAACTCTGAATACTTAAGTTGTGCTGCCATACCCATTTTAAAGAAAAGAACATTGTAAAGGAATTAAGCAATTTTCTGGTTCTGTTGTTGTAATTGTTTACATCTAAGAAGCTAAAGAAGCCAGTAGAGTCTGGGTCAGTTGCCCAGGGCAGCATTAGAAAGGAGAAGAGGGGGCAAGGGGGTAAAAACACAATATGAGAAATGTTTTTCTATTTATTTTTTCTTCTTTTTTAGCATTGGGGAGTTCACCTTGCTTCTTGCTGGTAATGGGTCGACTGTTTTATTTGGGCATTTAATGCATTTAACCGACCCACAAATTTTGTTTGATTCTGATTGAATCCAGGTTGCTGAAGAAAGATGGCTTCTGGCTTTTTAATAAATTATCTATATATAAAAACAATTATATTATGAAGTCTATAATTCCTAAAGCTAGAAATTAACAGAGCAATATGGAATGGTAGCAAGTAAGCAAGCAAAGTTTTTCAAATATATCTTTTCATGAGTTGCAAAACAGAAAAGTGTCTGAATTGTTTATAAATTGCTAATGAGGTTTTGATTTTCTGTAGAAACACACTTGGTTTAACATTGGTTTGCTTACCTTGCCTAAATCCTTCCTGTCCACCCTCCAGAGGTCCTATTGTCGTATTGTCCTCTGGTAGAAAGGCTTGGATTTGATGAAAACTTTGTGGACGTAACAGAGTTGGTTGAACAGAGGCTTGCCCAGACATCACAGCCGGACAGCCTTTCATTTAAAGGACATGTCTTCAATCATTCCAGTAAGTTAAGAGATCTGCTTCTGCTTTGTAGATGAACATCTGGATCACTGAAACTGGCTTTTGAAAGAGCCACGATGCTAAAATTTGTAAAATATTTGCCTGGTTGTTTCAGTTTCACACCTGCAAGTTCTAGATCTGGCTGCAGAGCTCTCACTCGTGTTTCTGCTTTTTTCCCCTGCACAGGTGCAGATGTTAAAGGCAGCGACCACCCAAGGCTGGCCATAGGTTCACACATTGCAGCAGAGCTAAGAGAGGCTATCCATAGCAAGCTCGGCTTGACCGGTTGTGCTGGCGTCGCCACAAACAAGCTGCTTGCCAAACTGGTTTCAGGCACCTTCAAACCAAACCAGCAGACTGTTTTACTGCAGGAGAACATCGGGGATATCATGGGCTGTCTGAGTGGCCTCAGAAAAGTACCTGGTACCCATTCGACACTCTTCAGAGCTAGATGAACTCACTCCAATGTGGAAAGAGTTTATTATTTTTGTTTTTATACAAGAAAATAGTACAGTTTCCAAATATAGGCAATAAAATAATATTATTGCCTCTTTCTTTGTTTTATTTTATGTCTCTCAGGCGTTGGCCACCAAACTGCAAAGAGACTTCAAGCTTTAGGATTAATGAGTGTAAAAGACTTGCAGCTCTATCCACTGAATGACTTAGCGAGGGAGTTCGGGGGCGGCACAGCCCAGCGCTTAAAAAACCTGGCCCTGGGCATTGATGACTCAGCCGTCACGCCCACTGGGGCCCCTCAGGTGGGACTTGGGTGTTTCAGTAATTATATAATCCTATAAAAAAAAAAGAACAAAAACATCTCTTGCTATTTTAGTGGTTTAGTCCTGTGTTCATATAGCTAAGAATATTCTTATTGGATGTAAAGAAAAATTATAGTTTATTTTCAACATTGTTCATTTAAACTGTTTTTATTGGTTTTACATACTGGTGTCTGTGTTCCAGTCTCTCAGTGATGAAGACTCCTTTAAGAAAATGTGTTCAGTGAAGGAAGTTATGGAAAAGATTCATGAGCTCCTCAGCAGTCTGGTGGAGAGGTCTGACTGAATTCAGCATCTTATTACTGAGTCTCTAGAATATTATGTTTTTCTTGTAAATTCAGTTTTTTTGTTTAAAATCCAGGATGCACAAAGATGGCCGGCAGCCTCAAACCTTCAGGCTGACAATACGAAAATACTCGGCGACCAACAAGTGGTTTAGTCGGGAGAGCCGCCAGTGTCCGATCCCAGGCAGCACTGGACAGAAGATCCTCTCTGGTACGCTGGTGTTCAGAAAAAGAATAATAAAAAAAACATTTTAACTTTTAACTAAAGTTTTAAAGATGTGCAAACTAAAACATTTTTTTTTTGTGAACCACTCTTAACCTAGATATCCCAGGGCACTTTTTCTCATAACAAAAAATATTTTTTTAAAGGATTTTAATATTTAATTTCTAAAAAGCGAAATTATGGTTTTCCAATTGGTTTTCAGATCTTTTGCTTGCTTCATGTTGTCAGACTGGTTCTACTAAAGTCAGTTTTACAGGTTGGAAGTAATGGGCTCTATGCATAACTCCACTACTTCCTGAACTTAAGGCAGCTCTTCGTTTCCTGTCTTTCATTACTGGATGAACTCATTAAATCAGGAGTGCCTGACATCAGTAACCATGGCCAGACACTCCTGGATTAATCAGTTCATCCAGTAATGAAAGACAGAAAACAAAGAGCTCCCTTAAGTTCAAGAAGTAGTGGAGTTGTGCAAACTATAGAGGCCATTAGGCCAGGAGGTGATTGGTGAAACTGAACCAAATTTAATCACATATGATTGAACAAGAGAAGGGATCAGAATTTCAAACATTGAGTCAAGGTGGTTTAAATGTTTTTTTCTTCTCCCTTTAATTGAAGTTAGTATTGTAATGCAACATTTTGACATTAACTGTGTTAGTAAATCTTTTGATACTTAGATACTTGAAAGTCATTTTATATATATTTTTTCCCTTACAGCTCAGTGCTATTAGCAATTTAACTGTTTTTTACACTCATTAGTTTTCCATTCTCAATTTAATTCAAACTAGTTGGTCAGCACCACAGGGGGCTCTCACTATTTCCTTTTTACTCCTTACACCTCTGACTTACAGCACCAGAAAGAGTCCTGTCATCTGCAGAAATAGTCAGATGACTCTGCAGTCAAATATGGTGCATCAAATATCGACAAGAAGCTGAGTACAGGGAGCTGGTGAAGCGCTTTGTGGCATGGAAACAATTATCTGATCCTGAATGTCAACAAAACAAGGGAAAATGTTGCAGATTTTAGAAGAAACAGGGAAAATTATTGAGAAAAGTTTAGTTCCCTCCGTTTTTGAAGCAGGATGATGGATATCTTCTATAAGTCTGTAGTGGAGAGTGGG